ACACACACACACACACACACACACACACACACACACACACACACACACACACACACAAATGGCTTCATGTCGCTGCAATGCATTATAGGTGTCTATATGTGGACATCCTTCCCTGAATGTGGGGTGAAGCGGCAGCAGCGGCACGACCGGCCACCAGAGGCGCTCACATACATGTACTCTCTCGCACGCACATTTCAATGGCTGTGTCTGGGCAAGGTGGTGCAAGCAAGGCAATGGAAGAAGTTGCCGAGTAGGGTTTCACATTTCACAATCGGGTGTGTTTGGACCCCAAAGGACTGACGAGCTACTGCAGACAGACAGAAGAAGAGGAAGATGCGGGGATGCATCGAGAGTCAGGAAAAGTGACAGAAGAAGAACGCGTATGGTGACGCTACCTTCAGTTTACAGGAAGGTGGAGGCAAAAAGATGCCACCGATCAGAAAACAGCTGAATCCGTATGTGCTAGCGCACATCCAGCCGCGTGTCTCACAATGTTGCGTAATCCTCAGTGGGTCACAGCTGCTTTTCTCACACACGGCAGACTCGATATCAGCCACCCTGCTTCCTTACATTTTGGATCCTCTTTGCTTCCAATAAAAGTAGCTCAGTACGGATTTTTCCACTTGTTCTCGTACACTTCCGCTCACTTTGGTGTTGTTTTATGCAAAAGAGGGGTAGATCCACCCAGTAGGCATGTTTAAGTGGACTATGATCTGGAAAATGTCGGACAAATGTAAACGTAGTTATTTCAGATAGCCTCAGCTGATACCTTGATTGTCATCTAATGTGGTGGTCAACAACTATTTAATGGAGAATTCACTGCATAAAGTCTGTAATATGATTTGGTCCTTGTTTTCCTCAAGTATTGCAGAACGTTCTTATGATCTTGTGATACTCAGATGACTAATATGAGTGATGTCAGTCTCCAGCCAAAAAGCAGTCAGGAGATCTCGGTCACGTAGAATCTATTGGACATGGCCTGGCCTGTAAAAAGACAGCCTTTGTATAATCCAGCCATGAGGTTTTTCCTCAAAGCATTTATTTGCAGTGAGGAAGCGTGTCTGTTTGCGAGGGTAGAAAATGACCATTAGAAAAATGAGTTTATCCAGTTAAAATGAGCTGATAAATGAGGCAAAACTGTTCAGACTCTATTTGAAGCCCCAGTTAACAAGACATGACACTTGGTGTTTTTTCACATCGAGGCTTGCTCAGGTTTGTCGCTTGTTGATGGTGCTGTGCGCATGCAGGTTTGTGTAATGAGATGTGCGAGTGACCCCCTGACCTAGTAACATCCCATCTGCTATGAGAGCACATCTTGAACTCTGCCATGTCTGTCTCATCATTCAGGCAACTGAGAGGCTATCGGCAGTGATATGTGCCTGCTATTGCTTTATGGCCGCTGATGAAAAGCCGGGAAGCGTTGATGAAAGAGAGCGCGGCAGCGGATGTATTCATTTGCCTGACATGCCGCTGTCTGGCCCGTCAGGGGCAGCGGGAGGGGCCGAGGAACGTTGTGGACGAGCACATCTTTATGTATAGCTCTCTGCCGCCCAAAGTTTGATGAACAACCAGTAGAAAAGTCAGTTGTCGTTTTGACGCCTCACACGCATGCGGCTTGGAAATGACTTTCACATCATTTCAGCCAAATATCAGGACACTCGTCATGGCACCTTACACTGCTCGGCTGCCTGGCTTGTCACAGCCACGCGAGACAAAGAAGGCTCGTGTTGAGAACATTTCGCTGCACAGCCGTGAGGTTTCATCAAAAATTCTGCACACATGAAAACACATTCACAGGCTGTCATGTGCGTGCAAAGGAATCTGTTGTCATAATAAGCCCCAACTGTTTTATCATTTTAGCGAACCAGAAGCCTCCAAAAAAAATTAATAAATTAATGAATTAGTAAGTAAAATAGAGTAGCTTTCGAATATCATGCTTATGAAGCGAGCAAATGTTGAATGTTTGAAATGAGCTCATAAGAGAATGACGCCATGCCACACCAACCACTCCCCCTCCCGGTTGTTTTCATGGTCAAAAGGTTCGTTTCTGTGACTAAAAGCAATTTGGGCAGCGCAATGAGGACTGGTTAGCACGTCCGATTCACAGTGCAGTGGTTCAGTGTTCGATTCCAGCTCCGGTCCTCCCGTGTGGAGTTTGCATGCTCTACCCGTGCCTGCGTGGGTTTTCCCCGGTACTCTACTCTGGTTTCCTCCTCCATTCCAAAAACATGCATGGCATTTTATTGGAACACTATAAATTGTCCCACAGGTATGAGTGTAAGCGTGATTTTGTGTCCTGCGATGGGCTGGCAACCAGTTCAGGGTGTACCCCGCCTACTGCCCAAAGACAGCTGGGATAGGCTCCAGCACGCCCCCGAGCCTCGTAAGGATCAAATGGATGGATGGATGGATCACAGCAATTTGCATGTGGAAAAGGCTAAAGTAAAGAGAAGACCACAATGGCACCCAGAGATCTTACCTTGACTCGGTTTAGACAATCAAAGCAATACAAGTGTGTGAACACAGTAAAGAGTTTTCCAAATATTTTAATGTAGACAAGACTCCGACAGATGGAAGCCCATGTCTCCATCAGCACAAGTAGTGCAAAACACGTTGAGTTGAAGTGAAACTTACTAAAGCACATTCAGCCAAATATTGGTGCCTCAAGGAGTTGTCGG